GCGCCGGAGAGGGGGGGGGGGCGGGCCCCGGGAAGGGCCCAGCCGTTAGGCACACGGCGCGCAGAGCGGAGCCCCGGCTGCGGGGCTCTCTTAAGGTTTTTCTTAACATTGGGCAATCTCTACTTGATTTTGTACTCGTTTCCTTCCTTGTTGAGTAACATAATAAACCATATGACGTCATTGAAAAATAGAGCATTTATTCCTTAGAACTGTTTTATAAGTTCATCTTGTCAGCTTTATTCAGGTATTTCAAACTTTCAAGCACATGTTCATATCAGAATTCTCCCTTAGAAGAATTTACAGGAGATTTAGAAATATAGGAGAATTACTTAAAGCAGGTAGGGTAACATGCATAGAAATTTATGTTTCTATTGATAATTTTTGGAAGAAAGCACATTTTTCTTAAGGGTATAAAAAGCCACTGGAGATTTTTCTCTTAAAAGCATTATTTCTCATCAGACAACTAAAATTACAAGTATTTTAATTGGTAGTTTAGGATACTGTAGAAAACTCTATTCATGGACCAGCAGGTGGCATGGTGGCTAAGGCGTTGGACACTCCCACATGGCTGACTGGGGTTTGAGTCCTGGACCTGGTAGCTTGCTTTCTCACTTTCCCCTCTCTGTCTGTCTCTGGTCAAATTAAAAAAAAAAAAAGATGAATAAATGGAATGAAAGAAATATTTCTTTAAAAGAAAAAAGAGAAAACACTATTCACGTTGGTAGGCTGTCATATATATTTCTGAGTATTAATCTCAAATTCACTGTGTACTTTTTCATGAAAAACTGTATGAGTTAAGAGAATAGCTGTAGTTGTTATTTGCTGCAAATCTTGATTTATTCAATTTTTAAAAAACATTCAGAAGATATCTTTGTATCAAAAGAATTGCTAATACTTTTCTTTAGAATTTAGACCTGTTTTAATCAGTAGTGTCCTTTCTTCCTTCTCACTTTGCTGATCACATGTATTTGTAATCTTTAGATCGTAGGGAATGGAAGTGAGCAGCAGCTGCAAAAAGAGCTAGCTGATGTGCTGATGGATCCTCCAGTGGATGACCAGCCAGTGGACAAGGAATTTGTGGAAAGGTCACTGGATGGTGAAGGAGATGGCCCTCTTTCTAATCAACTCTCAGCTTCTTCTACCATTAATCCTGTACCATTAGTAGGGCTCCAAAAACCAGAGATGAGCCTGCCAGTGAAACCTGGACAAGGAGGTTAGGCTTGCTGCATTGCTTGCATAATGGAAGGTTATTGTTTTTAAATATTTGAGTGTTCACTCTGTACTAGGTTTGATTTTTAGCAAGCAAAAACTAATCTGTGTTCTCTAGACTCTAGATTCTTGATCTAGGGGAATATGAGAGAAATAATATATGTACTATTCTGATTTCCCTTTAAATGTGTTTCATTACACCAAAGTATAATAAACAGTAATTAAATGACTCTGAAGGAATCTTTTTTTTCCCCTTGAAAATGCTTAAATATTTTTCCAGGAAAGAAGGAATTTGAGTATGATGGTTAAGTGGAGGGATAATGCTTGGTGAATAGATGTTTGCTTTAAGCATGTATAGCTCTATGAGAATTAGTGTCAATTTTTAAAATACAAAGTGTATATTTAACCTAAATGTAAGTTATAAAGTCAAAACAAAAGAGGCAGGAAAGTGAATCATACCTGAATCCCAGATCACTTTTTACATTTGGGGTTGACCCTTACAGCAATACCTAGAAACCTTGGTGTTACTGACAAAGTTCTACTGACAGAGTTCTGTTGTGAGATTTCTGGCTTTCAAGGACATTTGATGGGGATGAACATTTTTTTCTGGGGTATGGTAGATATCTCTTTAGTACTTAGTTTTAGAACTGCATTACTTGATATTCTTATCAAGAAAATGACAAAGTGAAGCAATTATCTCATTATTTGTTTCTTTCAGATTCTGAAGTGTCAAGTCCTTTCACACCAGTGGCTGATGAGGACAGTGTAGTTTTCAGTAAACTAACTTATTTAGGCTGTGCCTCAGTAAATGCTCCTAGGAGTGAAGTGGAAGCATTGAGGATGATGTCCATTTTAAGAAGCCAGTGTCAGATTTCACTAGATGTAACCCTCTCGGTGCCCAATGTATCTGAAGGAACTGTGAGGTGAGATCAGCTTCTGAAAATCTTTGTGTGTTTATATCACATCTGTGACTTACAGTATTGGAAGGAAACAGTAGTGAATAGAATATATAATTATTTTATTTATGTAATGTTTAATTTGTCTGACATTTGTTATCCTGTCTTCCAAGGATTGTGACTTTCATGAAAAATGGTCTTTCATTTATGTAACCATTTCTTATATTCTTTTCCACTCCAGTCATGCATAACATGTTAGAAGAAATATTGATTCAATTTATGCTTCTGTGGTCCATGTGTGAGGATATCTATTAGTACCTTCAGAATCATTTTAGATTTTCATGATAATAGAGTAATAGTATTTAACTAACAAGGTAAAAAGATCTGCAAATATAATTGTTCTCTTTGAGCATTTAAAGAACTATTTCACAAAGACTATTTCTGATTATGTTTATTAATGGGCAAATTTTTTTTAAGAGAGATTTTTATTTTAAGTTGCATGCCCTCACTGGAGAGCCAGAGAGAGAGAGAAAGTAAGAACTCAACCCCTAGGAAGGGATGGCCACGCCACAGTCCCTCCTCCATTCTCCTCCTGGGATTTTGAGCACACATACACATGCGCCCAGCGTGAGTCTCAAGCCACCAGGGCTGGGAATTGGATCATGTTTAGCCATGTGAGTCCAATGGCTTAACCATTATGTGACCCACTGACCCTGATGGGCTATTTTTAATAAAAATTATTTAGCACTAATTCTGTTTCTTAGTATTCATTCCCCCCACCTCAAGTTATAGTTTGTTCTAATATATTTTAATTCTGTAAGAGAAGTGAGAAAACTGGTCTGTCTTGCCACACATTTTCAGAGTTTTCATAAAAGTGCCTTGGAACCTGAGTTAGATCCCCTTCCTGGGAATTTTCATTCTTAGGAGGGTCTTTGGGCTTTTTATCAGTGGCTCTTCCCAGGTAGTGTTGAAATTGTGTAGTTTCTTTTCAGGCCTTTAATAGTTGTGTTCTTATTGCCCTGAACAGAGTTTAGAATATTGTAGGTATTGTACAGATATTTGTCAAATGAATCAATTTTTGAATGAGTGATAGTTCTTTTATTTTTAATTTTTTTGGAGAGGTTTTTGCTACAGGGCACATGTGCTCTTCAGAAAGACAGAGAGACAGAGAGATAGAAAGTGAGAAATCACACACACACACCCCCCAAGGGGGATTGGCCACACCGCAATTCCTTCTCCTCCATTTTCCTCTTGGGATCTTGGGCACGCACGCACACATGCTCGGTGTGAGTTTGTCACTGGGTCCAGGACTTGAACCGCGGTTGACTGCATGGATGATCAGCGACATAGCCATTACACTAACTGCTGGTCCCAGTTCTTTTATTTTTATTGAATGGCATCCCTTTCTTTCTTTCTTTCTTTCTTTTTTTCTTTATTTTGCTATAAGGGCAGATGTACTCATGAGAAAGAGACAGAGGGAGAGGGAAAGTTAGAAATAACTCTTGAGGGGATGCCTACGCTGCATTCTCTTCTCTATTCTCCTCTTGGGATATTGGGCATATATATACATGTGCCCAGGATGTTTTTCAAGCCACTGGGTACAGACTTGAACTGTGCAGTCAGCCATGTGTGATCCAGTGCCTTGCCCACCATGTCACCTGTTGGCCCAGCTAATATCCTTTGACTTTATTCATAGTCTTTTTTTTTTCCTTCCTTTCTTTCTTTTGATGAGTTAACATTTTGTAATATTTCTCCCCTTATTTGCCATAAATCAAAAAATATATTTCACTCTGACTGAGAGCATCAGTTTTTATTTTTTTTTATTAAATAATAAAGCATATTTGCTCATCCTTAGGTAATAATCAGAAGCATGGCTTCTTAAAAAAAAAACTTTATTATTATTTTCCAATTTGACCAGAGAGGGAGAGAGAATGTCAGAAAGCAAGCCACCAGTTTCAAGACTTGAACTGGATTTGGACATGTGGGAATCCAGTGCCTTTAACCACCACGCCACCTGACAGCCCCCAGAATCACAGCTTTAAAGTCCTGTTTTAGTCATCTAATTCATTGATCTTGTCTTCATTATAGACTACATAAAAGTATGTATTCATTGCCATTTTTTTACCTTTCTGCTTGCCTCCCAAAAACATGGGACAGTATAGTATTTAGTGCCATAGAATTACATAATCAATAATTTTAGTAGTCTACATGACTTTATTAAAATCGAAGTTTAGTGTGATTAGCATACCAAGATGACCTGAATGATCTTGTTAGAAAGGTGAGTTTTAGGATCACCAAATGGAATGATTGTTATGTTGCTGGACTCCCACATGATCAGCCACAGTTCAAGTCCTAGACCCAGTGACTTAAAACATGCTGAATGTTTGTGCATTTGTGCCCAAAATCCCAGGAGCAGAATGGAGAAGAGATTGCTGTGTGGCCATCCCCTCTGGGGGTGATTTATTGCCTGCTATCTCTTTGTCTCTCTGGTGAGAGCACATGACCTATTGCAAAAATCTCTCAAAAAGGAAAAAAAAAAAAAAAGATGAGTGTCAAGTTACAATATGGGGCCAACTGATGGTGTGGTGGTTAAGGTACTGGACTCCCACATAACCGACTGCAGTTTGAATCCTGATTCTAGCAGCTTGCTTTCTCACTTTTCCTCTCTCTCTTTCTCTCTCTATCTCTGTCTGTCTACCTTTGTGAGCATACATGCCATGTGAGAAATTAAAAAATCATAAAATTTACTCTTTTTAAAAAGTTTCATGGCAGTAACAAATTGTTTATAATTCCTCTAATCTCTTTTTATCTTTTTTTCTGAACAGACTCTTAGATCCTCAGACAAACACTGAAATAGCAAACTACCCTATCTACAAAATCCTCTTCTGTGTTAGAGGTCATGATGGAACCCCTGAGAGTGACTGTTTTGCATTCACTGAAAGTCATTACAATGCAGAGCTCTTCAGAATACATGTCTTCCGGTGTGAAATACAAGAAGCAGTAAGTGGTTAAGAGAAAACTGTTTGCAGTTGAAACTTTACCAGTGCCCTCACTAAGATGAAATGATTGTAGACAAATTCTCTGCTAGTATTTTAGTGATTACAGACTGATAGGCTGAAATATAAACTAGATGTTTGATGAACTAGAACCTTGTTGCTAGAGCGTCAGCAGAGACCAGTTAGCTACTTCTTGGCTTAGAAAGGCTTCCTGCTTCCAACAGTGACACATTTTCAAACCATTCTTAAATAATAGATCTAAACCTGTTAGGATTACTTTTATTATAATAAATATGTTTGGATAGTTTCTGAGTATTTAGGAAGTGATATTTTTATGTGAATTTCCAGTGTTTACAACCATTTCTTTTTTAAAATACCTTCTCTGTCCATATTTAGTGTTACCTGCTTTATAGGCCTAACAAATTAGATAATATACCAAAAAAAAGTAAATGGAGGAAAGTGATTATTCCCTGAAGTAGATAACCTTCTAGTCTTAAATAATAGTTTTTTATCTTATGGTAACATCCCATTTCCTAACATGTCTGGTTCTAGGTAAGCCGGATACTCTACAGTTTTGCCACTGCCTTTCGCCGTTCTGCTAAGCAGACCCCACTTTCAGCCACTTCTGCACCCCAGACTCCTGACAGTGACATCTTTACCTTCTCTGTGTCTTTAGAAATTAAAGAAGATGATGGTAAAGGTTATTTTAGGTAGGGCATCTTATTTTATTCATTTTCTTGAGTTTTTATTAACATGCTATATAACATGAAATAATTGCTTTCATAGGAAAGGCATTTTTTAAAATAATTATTTTATTTAACTTTGTTTATTTTAATTTGACCAGATTGGGAGAAAGACAGTGAAAGTGAGAAAGGAAGCTGCCAGGTCCGGGACTCAAACCACAGTTGTTCATACGGGAGTCCAGTGTTCTTAACTACCATGCCACCTGCTGGTCCTAGAAAGGCTCCCTCCCCCCACCAATGTAAATGACATAAGAAAAGAAATAAGCAATTTATAGAGGCAAGGTTTGAAATATTTTAATGCAGTAAAAATATTCTTCATGTGGGGAACAAGTTATTCTTTTAGTCAAACTTGTATTAGCTAGCTGGCTACTGATAAGAAACATGGACAAAGCTAAATCAGCTGGATTTGTAGGTACATGAGTGGACTTCAGAAAGTTTATGAGGGGAACCAGCAGTTAGCGTAATGGCTATGTCGCTGGACTCCCACGTAGTCGACCGTGGTTCGCGTCCCGGACCCGGTGGCTTAAAACTCACTCCAGGTGTGTGTGTGCGCGTGCATGCCCAAGATCCCAGGAGGATAATAGAGGAGAAGGGATTGCGGCGTGACCATCTCCCCTGGGTGGTGATTTCTCTCTTTCTGTCTCTATGTCTCTCTCTGTCTGTCTGGCGAGCGCACACACCCTATAGCAAAAACTTCTCCAAATAAAAAGAAAGTTTATGAGCAAAATGGAATTAAAGTACAAGATTATTTTGATGCAAAACATTTAGAAATCTGTACAAAGTTACTATTTTTTTTGGTAAGGAAAAGGTTATTTATTAAGTAAAAGTACACTCCTGAGAGGTAAGAACAGGCCTGAAAGAGTGACTCTAAAGGCCCTAGCAGTTGCATTCTGGTAGATTTGTAATTTTTAACCAACCTAGGCAGTTGATCACTGGCTGGGCCCACTGATTGTTTTCAACTTACCGGTTCTATCAAATGTGGCTGGGTCCACTGATTTCTTACTGGCTATTTTGTATATGGCTGGGCCCACTGATTTATCTCATGGCTATGTCAAATGTAGCTTAATCAGCCAGATATCCTCCACTAATCTCCTGCCTGTATTACCCTGGGTGGGGAATTTTCTGCCTTCGTTTTTTTGTTTTGTTTTGCTTTGTTTTGTTTTGTTTTGTTTTGTATTTTCCTCTCTAGCCACATAGGCAGATGCTCCAGTCCCCTTACCTTCTTCCATTTGCTAGCTTTCCCCTGCCTAATTTTCCCCCTGAGAGGCATGATCCCCTTAAGTCTTTCTGGGGAGTTGAAGATGGATGGTCTGCCGTCTGTAACTGCTTCATGCTGGAAAGGGGCATTAGCCCTACCTATTGAGGATCACAGAACTCTCACCCTATCTGATCGAGATGGGAGAATGGGGGCAGGGGCAGATCGTTGAAATACTACACAGGTGTGTCATGGGGAGGGCTGTCATTGGTGCTGGATGACTCGCAGTAGGATTCAGTGGCAGTCCCAAGGCATAGGTATTCCTGTTGTATGGTCATTTGTAGTTTTCCAGCTTCTAAGTAAGAACTTGGAAGAATCTCCTAAACTTGGTTAGGAGGTTTAAAAGACAGGACTCAAGAACAAGGGTGAGGATTAGCATTGACAAGTGTCCCAAGAGGGACAGTTGTCAAAGGAACCATTTCCAGATTTTTAACCAGATTCTCCACAAAGTTATTTTATACTACATTATTTTTCATGAACTTTTTGAAGACATCATATTTGCTTTACTGTAGTCTTGGTTAATTTAATTGTTTAATAATCTAAAGATCTTAAGGCTTTTGAAATCAAATTAAGGTTTTTCTGAACTCATTGGAAGGGGAACAGTGAGGTTCATGTCTGGTGTCTAACCCATGTAGACTTTCCGAAGCTTCTTTACATCTCCCAGGAGTACTTTTATTATTTATTAAATAAGGCAGCCGGGGCCGGCAGGTGGTTAAGGGCACTGGACTCCCACATGGGGCACTGTGGTTCGAGTCCCAGATCTGGCGACTTGCTTTCTCACTTTCTGTCCCTTTCGCTCTCTCACTCTGTCCTTCTCTGGTCAAATTAAAATAAATAAATAAAGTTAAATAAAAATAATTCTTTAAAAAATAATAATAATGTGGCCAGACTCTAAAATTCTAACTTCAAACTTTTATGATTGTAAGATGAGTAATTTTTTTGTATAGCCTATATGACAAAGCATGTGCTTCTTGGGGTTATAATTAGTAGTAATAATCAGTAGTTGCATGTAGAAGTCAAGTCTCTTTCCTCCATGACTACCTCATAAAATGTGTCAAATGAGATTATGTAAAAATATGAATGCTACTAATTTATTCCTTTAACTTAAAAAGCACAATGACTAGTTCATTTGTTAGGAAAATGGGTAATTCTTGGTCTCCTACAGTTTGAAATTGTCATGCCATCTGGTGGCCAATTTAGTGTATTTTGCAGCTTTAACTTGATTTAAGACTAAAGTATGTAGCATTGTGTTCTGTATTTTCTTATTAGCTATGTTCCTTTTTAAAAAAATTATTTATTTTACTTTATTATTATTACTTTGAAGAACTATTTTATTTAACTTTATTTGTTTTAATTTGACCAGAGAAGGACAGAAAGAGAGGGAAAGTGAGGAAGCAAGCCACCAGGTCTAGGATTTGAACAGCGGTTGGCCATGTGGGAGTCCAGCACCCTTAACCGCCACACCATCTGCTAGCCCCTGTTATTATTATCTTTTTTTAACTTTGCTGTAGGGCATGTGTGCTCACCAAAGAGAGCGCAAGCGAGACACCAGGTCCAGGACTTGAACCACAGTTGATCATGCAGGAATCCAGAGCCTTAACCATGGTGCCACCTGCTGGCCCTGCTATATTCCTATTCTTAAAAGCAACTCTGTGAGGTATTGGTCATTGGAAAAGTTATGTTTTTCTCTGCAAAAATACGTCATGACTTTTCTGACCAACCACTAGTTTTTTTTGGTTTGTTTTGTTTTTAAAGAGAGATCTTTGCTTATGTGCTCTCTGAAGACACAGAGAGACAAAACGTGAGAAATCACCCCCTAAGGGGATGGCCACATCGCAATCCCTTTTCCATATTCCTCTTGGATTTTGGGCACACACACACAAGTGCCCAGTGTGAGCTTTAAGCCCTGGTGTCAGGGACTTGAACTGCGGTTAACTATGTAGGAAGTCCAGGAATGTAACCATTATGCCGTCTGCTGGTACCCATCCAATAGTTGTTATGGTATGCATTCCCAACCCAGGAAGTGGAAATCATAATCCATATGCTTTTTTTTACTGTAAGTTTTGCTTCACCAGATAAAGAGATGAGAGGTAGTGAAAAATCACCCCTCAAGAGAACAGCCACTCTGGGAACCAGCAGTTAGCGTAATGGCTATGTCGCTGGACTCCCACGTAGTCGACCGCGGTTCGTGTCCCGGACCCGGTGGCTTAAAACTCACGCCGTGTGCGTGCGTGCCCAAGATCCCGAGAGGAGAATGGAGGAGAAGGGATTGCGGCGTGACCATCCCCCCTGGGGGGTGATTTCTCGCTTTCTGTCTCTATGTTTCTCTCTGTCTGTCTGGTGAGCGCACGCGCCCTACAGTGAAAATCTCTCAAAAAAAAAAAAAAAAGAGAACAGCCACTCTGAAGTCCCCTTCTCCTAATCTGTTTTCCCTTTGGGATTTTGGGCACACGCACACATACACACACAGCATGTTTTTCAGTAGCAGCTAATTAGTCTTATCTGACACTCTTAGCAACAGTATTCTAGTTCGTCATGTTTCTATTGGGTTGTCAGAAAAGTCATGACTTATTTTTCTGTGCAAAAATAGGTCATGACCCTGAACCAGCAGTTTATATTTTAGCCTATCAGTCTGCAGTCACTAAAGTATTAGCAGAGAATTTTCTCTGTAATCATTTCAACCTAGTGAGAGCTCTGAACCAGTTAGTCAGTCATGTGGGAATCAGCCATCTTAACCACCATGCCACCAGCTGGTCCATATCTATATACTTTTTAAAAATAATTATTTATTTATTATTATTATTTTTATTTGACCAAAAAGAGAGAATGAGAGAAAGGGAAAGTGAGGAAGTAAGCCTCTAGATCTGAGTCAGTCATGTGGGAATCCAGCACCACAGCTACTATGCCACCTACCAACCCCTGTATCTATATACTTTTAATAGTTTTTCTCCTGTTTAAAAAACAGTTTTTTTTTAAATTTATTTATTTGTCGTGATTTTCCAAGGCACCAGGTCCGTGACATGAACCACGGTCAGCCATGTGGGAATCCAGTGCCCTAACTACCATGCCATCTGATGACCCCTGGAACAAAATCTTTTTAACTATATTTTATTCCTTTATTGAAGATATTTCTGTATTTCCTGTCTATAAATTAATAATTGTGAAAAGGAAAGATCTCTTAGAAAAGAAGCACTAAGATAATTTTTCTCCCTTCTGAGATCAGGCTTATTATGATGAGATAATTATAAACATTCTTGTTCTATTTAACCTTATACCAAGGAGATGGTATTTCAGAAAAATCACTGGCTGGTTAGATTAGCTTCCCACATTTGTCAGCTCTCGTTTTGTTATGTGGTTTTACTGAATTTGTGGTTTAGAATAAATACTGTTGTGTTAACTTAACAAGGTGATGAGATTATTGAAAAATATGCCTTGCTTTGTCTGTTTTAAACTTGTTAAGTACAATTTCGTTTATCCAGTAATTTTATAATATGTATGGGAATTTACCTGCAGCAATAAATCATTGATGTGCCCAAGTGTAGCTATCAACATGAATATTATCCTTAACACTATATGTAATAACAAAATTAGAAAGTTGAAATGAAATGTTGAATAGAATGAGTGGTTAAAACATGATGGTATAGGGGCAGCAGGTGGTATGGTGGTTAAAGTGCTGGATTCCCACGTAGTCAAACAAGGTTCAAGTCCTGTACCTCGCCGCTTGAAAATCACTCTGGGCACACGTGCTGGTATGCCCAAAATTCCTGGAGGAGAATGAAGAAGGTATTGTAGCATGGCCATCCCCTTTAGGGGATGATTTCTCACTTTCTCTCTCTCTCTCTCTCTCTCTGGTGAGCATATGTGCTCAATGGCACCAATTAAAATATATATGTATATGTGGGGGGGGGGCGATGATAAAGCATGTGTCTTACCACCTACCCAGGAGATGTATGCACTCAAATGTGTAATTAAACACAAGATTGATGTACTTTGATTTTGTTTGATTCATTGTAATTTTTGCCTGAGGATGCATGCACTCAGCAGAGAGAGAGAGAGACAGATGGTACCCTCCACAGGGGAGCTTACACTGTAATCTCTTCTCCTCTGTTTCCCCTCATTTTAAGATCCAGGGCATGCATGCACGCAGGTGTCCGCTGAGTGTGTTTTTCACACCTTCAGGTTCAGGACTCAGATCCTGTAGTCTGTCATGTAGGATCCATCTACTTTAACTACCATGCCGTCAACTGACCAAATCGTAGTTTTAAACACAGTTGTTGACAAAGTTTGACGGAAAGAATCAATGTTCTTCTCAATCCTGCAGAGTCATAGTTCTTACATTATTAAAAATGTACTTCTCAAGTAAGCCTTTAGGAAGATGGAAAAATTTTATTTATACCATTCAGAGGACTTTTTTTTTTTTTTCGTTTTTCTTTCGTCTCATTTAAACCATTAAGTAAATTAAACCTGTGAAATAAATTTGGTAGTTGATATCATACTTACTTTTTTTTTTAAAAGCTTTTCTTTTTTAGAATTATCTTATTTAACTTTATTTATTATTAGTATCATTATTATTTTCCAGTTTGATCAGAGAGACACAGAGAGAGAGAGGAATTGAGAAAGCAAGCCACCAGGTCCGAGACTTGAACCATGGTTGGCCATGTGGGAGTCCAGCTCCCCTATCCACCACGCCACCTGCTGGCCCTATCATACTTACTTTTTAAAAATTTTTATTTATTATTATTTTTTAAATTTGACCAGCTAGAGAGAGAAAGCAATAGTGAGAAAGCAAGCCTTTAGGCCTGGTACTTGAAAAGCAGTCAGCGATGTGGGAGTCCGGCACCTCAACCACCACGCCATCTGCTGGTCCTGTACTTACTTTATAGGTAAAGAAATCTAAGGAAATTAAGTTTGGATCCATTTTCTTAATTAATACAACAGGAAGTAAATTTTAAATTCTCTGGCTGGGTCCATTCAATAACATAGTGATAGGGCCAGAAATATAATCTAGGTCTCTGACATTCAGTGAGGAGAATACCCACTGATTTCCCTTTCTATTCCGCTCCCTGTTAATGTAGCCTTTTAAATGAAGGACACCAGAGAAAGCTTTATATTCATTGTTTTAAATTGCTGACAGATGAGATTATCTTTACTTCAGTGTCCACAGAGCATGGATACCAGTGTATTTATTAGCAGTTGAAAATTGA